CTTTAATCAAAACTATAGGTGGACACCATGGGAACTGTACTTTTATTTTAGTCCATGAAGTAGAATACAAATAAATCCTTTAAAGACTTCTGTCAAAGGGACGCTCAGTCTCCGCACACAGGTTCCACACGGGTGGACGTTAAGGGGGAAAACTGCAGTTTGTGTGAAGCGAGCTACAACTGACCAAGGCGGATGACCCACTGGTTAAATAAATGAGGAAAAATAAAATCTAAAAACAGAGTTGCAAAAAAAACAAAAAACCTCAACAACTCATGGCTTCAGCCAGATGTCAGCAGCTGTCATGTAGGACACATGATCTGTCAGGAGAAGCCCCAAAAAACCAATATGGTGCTTGCAGTAAGTGATTTTGTAAACCACACAGAAACTGGGACTACTTCAAATTAGCACAGAATCTGAATCAGAAACAGCAAAGCTGAGTGATTGTGTGAAACTGTAATATGTATCAAGAAGGAAGCAAAAATTCCCATCTGACAAAAATCCGAACAAGAACTACTGGGGCGCCAGAGGCTGCAGATACAGATGCGTCTTGAAAATCACTCTTCCTTGGCATCGTCATCAGCTCGTGGCGGCATGGCCGGCCTCTGGAGGAATCAATTCAATTCAATTTTATTTATATAGCGCCAAATCACAACAAATGTCGCCTCAAGGCGCGAATCAACTCCCAGTTACCGCCGATAGTGTGGGGTTCTTGCCCCTTGGCATCAGGGCAAGAAGGGTGGGACAAATGGCCCGGGTCTCCTGGGCCTCTGCCTCTGGCATTGTGTTTCGTGACACTCACACGATCATATCTATTTTTATTTTTCCCCTTCTCTCTTTCAAGTGCCGTTTGTGTTTTTAAATCAAAAATGCAGCAGTTGGTGCTTTGTCCCTTATCCTCATCTTTCTCCTTTTTCCACTATGCTCTTTTTCTCTTTCTAATATACTCCTGCCTGTCTGTCAGCTGTGGCATTTTAATGCCAGACATAGTACTTGTAATGTGTACAGGTGTAATTATAACTCTTAACAAGCTTTGCTTACATTCAGAAGTAAGGGAAGGTTTCAGCTGAATAAAACACAAGTCACTACACCTGTGCTTTCCATTCTGTAAGCTGTATAAAAAAATAAATGGAAAAAAAAAAACGTCTACAGTACAGCCAAACAAGTATAAAACATGAAATGAAAAATTAGATTTTGAAGTAAAACATTTCGTTTTTTTATTTTTATTTATTTTAAAGTCACTAATAAAGGTTACATGGCCCAGAAAAGTATGAGGAGAGACTCCCTCAGCGTCTGGAGGAGCTGATTGGCTGTTGAGCTGAAGAGTCGCGTTCTGTCATATGACCTGACGACTGAGCTGTAAACAATTACCCTTTAACACAGGCACAGACACAGACACAGCTGGCAGGTTTAAATCTTTCGTCAAATAACGTTAATCAGTCAGTCTTGTCCACAGCAGTACAGCTATATGTCTTTTTTTTGTTTTCAGATAGATGAAGATAGCCGCTTTCTTATTTCTTATGTCGAACCAACCCTCGTACAAGAATCCAACAATATAAGGACGCCTCGCTTGAAAGCAAATTTTAACTCTGCATTTATTGTGGGAACGCGTTTTAGAGTTTATTTTGATACAGCACAGCTAAAATAATGAAACGTCATATTATCTGATAATAAGAGAGTCTTGAACACCGAGATGCACACACGAGGATTTCTCTGTTTTGGCTGGTGATGACAACCACAACAACAGGCCAAACATTTACAAAAGTTCAAAATGAATTGACTTATGTGTAATATGTTGTAGCCGAATTGAAGACTTGCCAAGTAGTAATATGATAAATACAGAATTATTTTTAAGTTAACATGATGGCTGATAAACATCAGGAGAACTTAAATTTGACCCCCTTTGAATGGAGTTTGGTCTCCTTTCGAAATCGCCAGCTGCCGATTAGCTAACTGACGGACGACAGCAAGTTGTGCAACTATTTGGCAACAGAAGACAAACTAAGGAATAAATTGATGAAGGAAACACTTACTGAGGACGACCGGGGGTTTGGGGGATTGACGAGGCTTTTCGTCGAGACATTTCCCCGCCGGTTTCTCGGAGCTGGGTGCCGACAACAGCATTAATAAAAGCCCGACACAGAAGGCAGTTACCCGGTGCCAACCCGCCATGACTCCTGATATCTCATAGCCTGAAGAGCATAGTACCTCCGCGGTGTGTGGAGCCGGCTGCGGTTTGCTGTTAAAGCCCACAGCTGCGGGTAAACTACCTCTGTGGACGATCACTCAACGATCACGAGTTCCGGATTTTAAGAGCACACGGTGTCCTGCGAAAAACAGTTACGCCTTTAAGAAAGTGCCCCTCCTGCCATCCTCAGGAGGGGTAGGAGGAGTCACCTCTTTCAAAGTAAAAGCTTCCACTGTTCTGCAAGCTTCTTATTTCTGATAGGCCTACAAGTAGAGGAAATAATAATATTAATATCAATATATTAATTGTACCGTTTGGATGATTATTTACCTTAAACTATACACTACCAAAAAGTGTCCCCTCTTTCTATCCATATAACCCATATAATCCATCCTCTCTTTTC